TACGCTGGCCTTCCCACCGTCTTCCCTCCTCACCAATTGAAAACATGGGCCTGGAAGATCGTAGCAGTTAGGGTTAACGCCAATAGCCTTAACACAACGCGATAGACCCTCTCCCCGTTGCTATCCGGAATATACTGACGGTGTCCGCGATAGACTCTGTGTTGCCTCACACATTGCCATCAGCATGACGCTCCTACCCCGTGTATATCGTCCTCCCACGAATAATAGTTTTTTTCCTATGAACAGCCCTAAAACCGCATATAAAATTCTATAGTTTCCGGAAAATATTCAAGGAGGTTTTTCATTGTCTGCTCCTTTTTTATAGACAGGGGTAGGGGTCTTTTACAAGTTGTTGGCCCCATCAAACATCGCTAAAAACACAATTACAAATTTCTTACACCAATAAGACAAAACATTAGGGGAGCTCCACCCACTGTCTGAAAGATGACCAAGAAAACAACTTATCTGATAACTCAGATAAGACGAACATTTTATCTGACTTCTTCATGGTTGTGTATATCGGGGAGCTGCCTTTTGACGCGGAAGAACAACAATATATTTCCACACCAACGGATACAATTAGCAAGGTGATGTTCACAGCAGACACAGAAAGAACTTTTAAGAAACACCTTTAGTCCACTAAATCGCTTGAACGGAATGGCATATTAAGGAGTGTTCTGAATAAGTAGGCAGACCAACTGGCCTCCCCGCTCTCCCAGATGTTCGAATGTTCGATGAAAAAGGGAGTTCTGCCTACCGACTGGAAGCTAGCTAACATAAATCGTACCCAAAAGGGGTGGAAGATCCCCACCTAATAGTTTTAGCCCAGAGATTTTCACATGCATTTGTAACAATATAATGTAGAAAATGATGAAAACGGTACTGGGGAGGCATATTGAAAAGAAAAACTTGCAACGTGCACATAAACATGAATTTAGAGATGGTAGATCCTATCTCACTAACCTGTTATAACAGGTTAGTGGATGTTATAACATCCAGGGTGACCTGGACCAAATTACTTAAAAATGGATTTGTCGGTCAACAAATAAGTAAATAAATTTTATATTTTAGGCCCGAAGGGCCTCATCATTGCACTGTGACCCACACAAACTTCAGCAAAGACTTAGACGGGGTGCCACGCAAACGGTTGATCCCAAAGCTGCATCAAATGCGTGTGACTGGCAATCGACTCGAATGGGTAGTCGACTTTCTTAAAGGAGGACGCCAGCGTATTTGTATTGGGAATGCTAAATCGGCATGGGAAGACGTTACTAGTGGGGTTCACAAGAAAGACTTCTGGGTCACATCCTGTTTCCGATTTATGAGAATGACTGCCCTGCGTGTCTCAGCTGTGAGAAAGTAAAGTTCGCTATCGGTAACTACGGGATTCAATCGAAAGATCTGTGGATGCACAGAGCTTATAAAATAATTTGGATCGCTTGCAAAAGTGGTATGATAAGTGGATAATTAACCTTTATTTTAACAAATGGCAATTCATCCGGCTATGGTCAAGTTAATGAAGTATGATACGGTTTGAACATGAGTACTTCATTGAGCTAGTGAACAAGCTAAGGGATCTAGATGTATGGTTTGGTTTTTCACTCAGATTTTGGCTATTGTTTATCAATTTTCTGTTTTCATGTCCGCTCTCTATATTGACTTGATGTTACCGTCGCAAGCTTATCTGCGGAACTTAACTGTTCCTTGACAAGATCGGTTGAAACACCTACATTCATCCACCAACAACGTTTCGTAGATTTATTCGGGTAATACTTAAGCATCAGTTTGGGTTTGACTTGTGCTGATCTTTCTACACAATTGAATTTGAATAACAATACTCATTCAAGTGCAAGAACTACACCAAAGTAAATGGACAACTGTATATATCTATACAGTGGTTTGAACTTGGAGTAGTTTATAGCGGCTCGTTCGAAGCAGATCTGTTGATGACCAGGAGTGTCTCCATACGCTTCACATTATTGCTCATTTATTTAAGCGCGACACGTTTTTTATTTTGCGAAGCGCAATGTGACGTCTCTAATGTATCCCTCCACAAAGGTACGTTATTTGCCGATTACACTCTCCCTGCCTTTTGTTAAGAAAGTCTGCATTAGTATATTTCTCGATTTCTAGGCTAATTAGCTATGACTTTGTGCTAATGCCTTTTCTGAATACTATAGTTTGCAATAGTCCAGCTGCACACAGGCGCGCAGTGACATTTAGGAATG